AAATTTTTTTCACTGAAATGCCTTTGATTTTCCTCCTGCATATAAATAAGTGAATCAAAATGACAACAGGTTGGTATATTTAAAAATTCACCCTGCAGATAGAATAATTGAAAAATTAGCACATGATTTTATCAAAGTAACCAGTTTTTTTTTCTTGTCATTTCTGCTCATGAGTGTAAGGGCTATGGGTATTGGCATTATTTGCTAATTGGCCAGTGTGGAAAAAGCAAAAAATTACAATAAAATTGACAACACAAATACAAGCACACTCAAAAAAAATATTACTCCATTGCACTACAGTTACCGTCACTGTCACTACTACCTGTATTTACTTCTTTCTAGGGTGTAAACAGGGGAGGGGGGGGGGGGTGCGGGGGCTGTAAACCTGAGAATTTATGGCATAGCTAATGTTGTCTCCACAGGCCGCGCAGGTTAGGATGTTTTATTTTGCCCCCTACATAAAAGTACATCACCTTAACCGGGGTTGAACCCAGGTCTTCAAAAATGAGAGCCAGATATAACCGCTCAGTTAGGTAATTACAACAAAATAATATTTGTAAGATTTACTAAATTCATGATGCTGTTGAGTTGAGCTGAGTCAAGAATTGATATTACAGCACTCTGGGCATCCCCATGAATGCTCCATCCTCATCTTCAGCAGCCGGGGCAGAATTTCAATACTGATGGTACCATTCACAATCTGGTTAAATGTCCGTCTTGCCTTTCCTCTGAGTGTAGTGAGCCAGCCAGACCCTCTGGTTACATGATGCTATTGTTACAGATACCGTCAACTTAAAATGTCTTTGACATATTTATTAAAAAAACTTGCATATGTGATTGGACAGAGCTAATGGGTCACAAACTGAAGAGAAAAAGAGGTTCAACAAATGATTCATGACAATTCTTGCCCAGGGGATATGATTATCTATGCAGATGGTTCTGTGCTGAGGGGTGGATGAAGTTGTGGGGGTTCTTGGCCAAAGTGAATGGATGTCGCTTGGTGCAACAGGGCCTGGCACGTGTCACCATGGCATCTGGGTTGAGAATGGAGGTGCACGCAGCCACTGCAGCCTTCCGCTAGCTTCAGAATCAGCTGTACATACATCATAATTGTGAAGGCCTCACAGAGCGTGCAGAGAAGGGTGGAGTATGGTGTACTCCGTGGTGAGTGGCAGGTGTCGCTTCAGAGGTCCTGGGTGGTTGGTGTCTTTTGGATTTTTTCTCCGGGTCAGGCTGGTCTATTGGGAAGTGAGCAGGCAGACAGACTGGGCAGTTCGGTTCTGCAAAACTCTGTGGTGAACTGATGCGTGACAAGACAGATTATGTGGGAGCCATTTGGAGGCAGTGTGGAGGCGTAGATGGATCGTCACAGTCTGAGGGAAATGAAATCGGTGCTGCGAGCAGTGACCAATGATCAACATTCAGGGGAAAAGTGAGATAAACATACAATGAGACTGTTACCGTTTAATCTAAACTGCCACTCTGCGCTGGCTGCTGAAGATAGGGATGGAGTGCTTATGGGAATGTCTTGAGTGTATTTATGTTTATTCGTAATTAAATATTTAACATACTGACTATTAAATGTAAATATATTTGTCATAAATATCCAACACGGATGCTTGTCAACTAATACAACAGTCGAATCAACAAAGATCAAATAAAGACACAATGTCAAAAAGTGCAGTTTGCGGCTAATGTAGAGAAACTACAACAAAAAAAAAAGAGAGAAACAACATTTTAATACTGAAGAACCACTTACCCAACTAGAATCACAATTACTGTGAGCGTGCTAATCACATATTATTAAGATATTAACATTGCATATCACATAAATTTACCATTAAATTGTCACACACGAAAATCAATATGGTATGGTGTGTTTAGTATAGGCCTAATGTATGGCTGCTTCTATACTACTTGATCATGCATATTAGTACATTTGTTCCTGCAGCGAGGTGCTGTAATCTTTTGGGGGTGGCAGGTTCGATTCCTGGCACAGTAACTAGAGCTTTCGATTTTTATGTTGTCTAGTGTATCTTTTTATTTTTCTACATCTTTCTGTTAGTGCTGATAAATTCATTTGTTTGATATGTAGATCCTGTAGATAAGGGGCACAGTATCTATGGTATAGTTACATGTAATTTAGGCTGTAACATTACTTTGAGACAAACAGTATGACAAATAAGCATGTACTATTTGGCACACATAGGGAGAAGTAGAGACAGGAGACAAACAACAAGTTAATATTGAGGAACCACTTCCCTAATAAGCTATCACAATTACAGTAAGCATGCTAGTCATATATTATTTAGATATTATGATACCCATAATCAATATGGTATAATGTGATGGTCAAGGCCTAATGACTGGCGTTCTAACTGGCACTATCTAAAAATAGTTACATATAAACTAGACCAGTGTTTTTTAAAGTAGGCTCTACCACCTCAGTGGGTTTGGTGGGCTCTGAAATTGCTGGGGGGGGGGGGGGGGGGGGGGCATCAGGTAAAGTTTCTGGTGGGGGGGGGATAGATCATCCCAGTCTCAAAAAAGATCATCACAGTCTTGAAATAGATCATCCCAGTAGAAATAGATCATCCCAGTAGAAATAGATCATCCCAGTCTAGAAATAAGTCATCCCAGTCTAGAATTAAGTCATCCCAGTCAAGAAATAAGTCATTCCAGTCTAGAAATAGATCATCCTAGTCTCAAAATCAAAATAGATCATGTCTTGAGATAGATCATCACAGTCTTGAAATAGTTCATACCAGTCTTGAAACATATCATCCCATTCTAGAAAGAGATCATCCCAGTCTGCAGAGAATGATGCAGTGAAGAGTCACTGGGTAATCTGGCCAACACTTAACACTTAGGGTAGGGTCAAGACATATATGCACTAAGACTATTACTGGTACCATTGGAACTGGAACTCTGGCCTGCTGCTGAAGAGGGGAGCTGAGCACTTATGGGAATGCTATGATGTCGATTCTTACCTCATAACTGAAGAAAGACTACAAATATTTTTATTTATGTGACCTGTGTGTGTGTGTGTGTGTGCGATTTATTTATTTTTTTTAAAGTTTATTGAGTGTATGAATTTATATATGTGCATGCTGCCCAAGTTAAAATACTTTGGCAACTGGGATAAAAAAAAGAGCAGTCCAAATAGACTACGACCTGGGTTACATTTTCAGATTAGAAAAGTTACCCTCACACATAAAAAGACTATAAACTATATGATTCTAGTATATACACATCTGTATCATCATCGGTGCTAAAGAGTTTGTGCACTGTGCTGAGATTCTACCTGTATAATTTATAGCTGGAAACTGGAGCTCACATGGAGATACCCATGTGCAATAAAGGGCTCATTTAACCAAACCACATCAAGCACTGCCATACATGCTACTCTAAACCTCAGCATACATTTAAATATAAATTAATTGTTTAGTCTACGAATCATTAAAAATAAATGGGCACTGACAAGGAAAACAGAATGAAAATAACATACTAAACAAAACATAAACATACAAAAAGGTGTATGTTTTTCAGTATCAAGAAGATGTTATATTATTTGTTTTACAAATCTAAGTTGAGTTAAAATAATACCATTAGACAGAAAGAGTCAAAATCACAACTGGGGCAGATGGGTTAATGAAACAACTAGATGTGTCATAAATAAGGTAGGAAAGTAGATTTACATTAGTTGAAACCATTAAATGCACGGTAAATTGCTTGGTATTCAATGAGTTAAATAACAGTGTCTTGCGATGTATATAAAAAATATAAGCACTTTTATTTTCCAGACAAGTGCTTAAATGTCTTCTTATTTCTGCTTCATTTATTTTGTCTTCTATTAACGACGCCAGTGAATGTCTTTCATGCTTCACGTGGTACTAGATAGTTTGAGAAATGCAGTCTCATGGTGCATTTTACAGAACGTTGCAAAACCAATCCCAGCATTTTCTGGCTGTTGTGGTTTTTCTAGGCAAATTTATTGTCCAGTAGTTTGGCATTGCTTTCTGGACGGTCGGCTCTCGGTACCACGGTCGAAACCAACGCAAGACAAACCGTTTGCAGTAGGGAACGAACCCGGCACCCCCGACATTAGGAAGCAAGTTCGCAATGCCTAAGCCACAGGCGCCGACCTTATGATGCCTTGAAAGGACATAAACAGAAATGTATGACTTAGTGGCTAGACACTTTCCTGACATCCCTAAGGTCTAGGGCTCAAATCTGCATCAAGGTGGATTTTCCCAGCCTAAAATGGATACCAGTTCTTGCCCTGAGAGGTAAAGGCAGCCAGTGTGATGATGATAATATCACCCGAAATGTCGATAAAAATATAAATCTAGCATCAAGTGGCCAAAGAACCAGTGGTGTAAAAAGGGTCTTGTATTTACTGTATTTGTTTAACATACCCATGTTAGATTAGTAGCTGATTAGTGGCTTATTAGTGACTGATTAGGGGCTGCCAAAATGCTGAAAATGTAATCATACACAAGCAACTGTAATATGATCTTGCATACCACTGTAATTATGTATCTTCTTCTTCTTCATGTTCACTGGCTGTAAACGCAGGTGGAAGGTTCTGCTTGTTCATCTACTTCTGGACTCTAGTCCTGTTCCAGAAACTTGGTGTTCTGTGCACATCCGTTTCACTGATCTGACTTATTTGCATGCAGACTGTAGGTTTCTTGCCTTTTAGGAAGATGTTCTCCGACATTAGTCGGCTCTTACTACATGCTTTTAGGTAGGCAGTGGGTCTATTCTTGTTTTCCCCACAATGGTGGCCCTGGAACTCCCAGGGGGAGAATTATGTATATTTTACAAAGTTGTTTATACAAATACAATTAAAATGTAGACAAGCGAAATATTTTGGCTGCATTAAAAGACGTATCACTTATAAAATACCATACTAAAGAGAAAAGACAATGGCAGGTAGACAAATTATAAACATTTATATCAGTAGGATGATAACAAGAGATGAACAGCATTCTTACCTGTGAGAACCAAACTGGAACACCAGTGGCATAGAATGAAGTTGTGAGAGAGTTAAACAGGACTTGTTTCAGCCGGGTGTTGAAGTCTTTCTTCAGGGTGTCAACCTCTTCTCGGACTATGTCAGGAACTAAAGCACAAGTGTGACCTAGTGGAGCATCATCCTACAGAAGACAGAGCTGTTAGCCTTACCATAATTATTGGAGAGCTCTGGTCTACTCATTTGAATGTTGAATTAAGAATCGACATCACAGCACTCTGGACCCCCCACCCCCACGGCACGCAGTCCCCATCTTCAGCAGCAAGCATAGAGTTAAAACTCTGATGGTACCAGTAACTGTCTGATTGTATATCCGGCTGGCCTTTTCCCTGAGTGTCGAGCATCGGCCAGATCCCCTTGTAACTCTTTGCAGTGCCATTCTCCTCAGACCATAAAATCTATCTGTGCCTCGGCACTGTTCACTCGCTCCCAAAGAGCCCTCACAACATCCAGCTTGTTATACATCAGTTCACCACCAAGTGGTGCAGAACCAACCAGTTTATCTGCCTGCTCATAATACACCTGCATAACCTGTAGAAAATATCTAAAAGATGCTAACTACCCAGGACTTTTGAAGTTATACTCATTTGAATCATGTGAACTAAAAAAAAGTGTAACCTAGTGGCGTATCATTCTGTAGAGGATAGAAATCTGTTAGCCTAAACCTAATTACTGAACTCTGGTCTACTCAGTATTAATTAGGTGACCTAAAGAACCTAATGGAGCATCATCCTAGAGTATAACAGGCAAACAGATTGGCTGGATATGTACCAGTGGGTGGTGAATTGATGCATGACAAGGCAGATGTGGTCAAGGCTCTTTGGGAACAAGCAAAGGAATCAGTAGAGAAACAAGATTATTATAGCCTGGAGAGGTTAAGGAACTTGGGTGTAACCAGAGGGTCTGACCGAATCACTACACTCAGAGGAAAGGCAAGACCGACACATAACCAGATTGTGACCGGTACATCACTGTTGGAACTCTGCGCTGGCTGCTGAAGATGAGTACAGCACATGCATGGGAATGTCTCGAGTGCTGTGATGTCAATTCTTGACTTAACTCATCCTAGAGGAGACAAATCTGTAAGGACAATCACCACTTTTAAAAAAGGCGGTTATGTTTAATGGTTTACAGCTAGGCTGTGATGTCTACACCTTATGTCCGATCTTAACAAACCCTTAATTAATTGCCTTTTAAAATAACTGTGGCTCAGGCAATATGAACACGCTTTTAAATTCTGTAATATCAAGTTCAGTTCCAGTTGTGGGCAATCTGGCTAAACTGCACTGATTTATCATCATCATCAGGTGCCTTGCCAACTGGCGTGGGTGTTCACGCCTCTCCACAATCTGCGATCTCCTGCAGCATGTATCAGTTTGTGTGCTGTCACACCTCCATGCCATGCAACAAGACTGTCAAGAATTTTCTCTTGTTGTCTTCCTCTATCCCTCCTTCCACAGATCTTTCCAGTGGTCACAACATGTTCTATTTTCCCTCTTCTCATAACATGGCCGAAAAATAATGACCGTCTCCATATGATGTCTGTGATAAGTTGTTTTCGGGCTCCTCCCTCTTTTAAAATCTCTTGATTGCTCTTTTTGGCTGTCCAAGGTATTCTAAGCATTCTTCTGTAAAACCACATCTCTGAGGCCTCAGATGATTTATACCAGGGCTGTTTAAATAAGTTTACTCAGTGGTCAACATCTTGAAAATGGGGATCATCAAAGACCAGAGGCCCGAGCCAAGCATAAAAAGATCATTAAAATAACACAACTGGCAATGACCCGCAAGCCATTTGCTAGGGCCTCCGCAGGCCAGATTTGGTCCAAGAGCCACCAGTTGAATAACCCTGATTTAGACAATAAGGAGCCCCAGCTTTTCAGAAATAATAGCAAACTACTGAATGTAAATATCCTAGTCAAATCACAAAACAAAAGATAACATTCTGTGGGTTTTTTCCTGCAATATGCTGTAAATGATATCCAACTAACTTTGTTAAAAATGTCTGCATTTAACTGGTCAACAAATGCCCGCAGAAGTCGGATGTGTTGGCCGAAAGGTGCAAATATCGCAGCCATGCTGTAAATAGACACACTGCAATTACATCTTCAGATGAGCGCAGAAGAACAAAGGTCTGCATTTTTTCACCCAAAATGGTTCCCTGGTAGTCACAGAGGAAATAGAAGACGAACTCAGGGTTACTCAGTTTTAATCAGTGTTAAAATCAGACTAAAGCAGAAGATTGACCCAGAGAAGTATTAACCTATAAAGGAGACAAATCTGATAGCAAGATGACATTTGCTATATAAGAAAATGTTGGGGATGGTTCATTACCTATAAAGGAGATAAATATGTTAGCAAAATGACATTTGCTGTTAAGGAAAATGTTGGGGGTGGTTCATTACCTATAAAGGAGATAAATATGTTAGCAAAATGACATTTGCTGTTAAGGAAAATGTTGGGGGTGGTTCATTACCTATAAAGGAGATAAATATGTTAGCAAGATGACATTTGCTATATAAGAAAATGTTAGGGATGGTTCATTACCTAAAAAGGAGATAAATATGTTAGCAAGATGACATTTGCTATATAAGAAAATGTTGGGGATGGTTCATTACCTAAAAAGGAGATAAATCTGTTAGCAAGATGACATTTGCTATATAAGAAAATGTTGGGGGCGGTTCTTTCTTCTGCTTTTTATACTCACTGAAGCATGGGCCATCAGTTGAATCATGCCAAGCTCTTTGTAAACTCTGACTGGTTAGATTTTCTATGGGATTTTTCCATGCATTTTCTGTGGGATAAGTTTCAGTGGGATAAGGTAGCCAGTCTCACTCCAACCCTCCCTTAGTTGTCCCTTACGACACACATGGTGGGTAACAGTTCCTATTCTGTACTTCCTTTACTGACCTTAGGTAACTTACGTGCCATTTATGTGTGGAATTCAAATGGAAAACACAAAATTATCATCTGAAGAATACATTTATAAGCAGACCACAATATCTGAAGTGGAATAATGAAATGTTCAGAAACTTTACACAAATAACAGCGTAGCAAGTTAATAAACTAATGTAAACCATATGGACACAAACAGTACATAGACCCATTTATTGCCTGATTTTTACTGCATCTTGTCAGATGCATTACTGCAGTTACATCAAATCAGAATGAAACACAAAAATGAATCTTTTCCAATAAAATGCACAAAGCACAATGTCTCTTGTTATACTGTACAGCTCACCACCATGTGTTTTACCACATGCACTTTGTATCTGCACTAGGTGTTTTCATAACCAATGCATCTTCAATGTTTTCGGTACCATCAGTATTGAAACTCTGCGCTAGCTGCTGAAGATAAGGACGGAGCATGCATGGCAATGCCCTGAGTGCTGTGATGTCAATTCTTGACTAAACTCAACCCAACTCTTCAATGTTTTCTATTCAAATTCGCAGAGGTTGGCCTGTACCTCATTTTCTGGAAACTGCATCCCCCATTACCGTTCTCTCCAGGCCACCATGATACTTAACCCTGCAAAAATACCTCAGATATCATAAGAGGGTGCTGTTTATGAGCCAATTCTCCTCAACGTCCATGACTCACATCCATGAGTTACCACCAGAAGCAATGTGATAGGTGAACAAATTCTGACATAACACATCTGATTCTGAAATGACAGTTGAACCAACCCTGACTTTGGTCCTCTGAGGTCCCGCCTGTCTGTCTATGCTCAGGGCAGGTCTGGGCCAGGCTTGGTATCTCTGGTACAGTGGTTTCACCGTGAAGCCAAACATCACTAAATAAATGACACACCTGAAAGACAAGTTTGAGTTAGAGAAGAAAATTAGCACAAACCAGTATTATGGACATTAACTTTTTCGGTACCAGAAAACTTCACTGCACATTCACTGATTACTCTATACATGGTATGTGTTTCTTATCTCTTTTTGTCACATTCTCTTTTTACATTAACTCATTATGTCCCAGTTGTTACTTTAACTAGCTCTGACCCATAACTGTATTGTTTTAACCTAAAACCACTTAATAAAGATTCTGGAGTGATGTTGACCAGATTATGCAATATGTACCGCTTGGTCTATAAAATATAGTTCTAGCCCTATATGCCCAATCGTGACGCTGACCACATCATCTACCAAGTGCCAACTGGTCTATAAAATATAGTTCTAGCCCTATATGCCCAATCATGATGCTGACCACATCATCTACCAAGTGCCAACTGGTCTATAAAATATAGGTCCGGCCCTATTTGCCCAATACACATAAATGTGTGAAAAAGGGCCCTTTACTTTTACTATATGCCCGATATGCCTCAAGGAGGTCCTTTACTTACTCAAAGATTTGTATTCTAATGTACAGACTTTGGGACTGATTGCTTTGTAGTAGCTAGTGACTGGGATTAAAAAAGAGAAGCTTGATTACTAACAATAGTTAACAGCACTGTAATGGATATTATATGGCTTGCCTGTCTAGCCCAGAGGTCTTGGGCTCAAATCTACATGGAAGTGGAGATTTATAATGACGTTGGCTCCTAGATCAACACAGTATCAAATGAGGATCTGGAAATGTCTTGGGAAGAAAAGGCGGACAGCAAGATATTAACCAGAAGCTGGCCAAATGACAATAAAGCAACAATACAAGCTGGAAGAATGATAGACAGAGCTGATATTCTATAATGACGAGTCTCTAGTCCTACAAAACATGCAAGCAAAGTCTGGTGAAGCATCTCTGTCCTCTTCAAAGTGAAGCTTCTTTCATGTGCACACAGCATACCCATACTGATTTAATGCTGAATGTTAAAAGTTGAATTAAGAATCGACATCACAGCGCTTGGGCCACACCCATAAGCACTCCGTCCCCATCTTCAGCAACAAACGAAGAGTTCCAATTTTGATGGCACCAGTAACTGTCTGATTGTATATCTGTCTCGCCTTTTCCCTGAGTGTTCAACGCCAGCCAAAACCCCTTGTAACTCCTTGCAGGACCATTCTCCTCAGAGACCGTAATGATCTATCTGTGCTTCCTCACTGTTCATTGCGCCCTAAGAGCCCTCACAACAAGAGCCCTCACAACATCCAGCTTGTCATACACAAGTTCACCATAAAGCGGTGCAGAACCAGCCAGTCTATCCGCCTGCTCATTTCCCAACACACCGGCATGACCTGGAGAAAATATCCAAAGGATGCTGACTACCTGGGACTTTTGAAGTGATGCTTGCCGCTCTGCACGGAGTTTGCCATACTTATTTAAAATAATGCAGACCGAACAATATGCTGCACAATTTACTGACTGCCATATTTCATTGTCAGATGTATTACTAGAGAGTTTCATCAACATATAATAAAGCACACAAAAATTAACATTTCCCCCTGAAATACATAAATCAAATTGACTTCTCTAGTCTCCACCTGTGAAATGAGATGTTTGAGAATGGCTGCGAATAAAACCAGAAGAGATCGAGTGAGAAACGATGTGATTACAAGAACTATTGGAACCATACCCATCGTTAAATTTACTGAGAAGCAAAGAATGAAATGGTTTGGTCACCTAATGAGAATGGAACCAACGATGCCAGCATCAAGAGCATACAACATGAAAATCAAAACAACAAGAGGCAGGGGAAGACCAAGAAGAAGATGGATTGAAGGAGTCACGGACAACTTGAGACTTCATAACATCACGGCATATGAAGCGACTGAGCGCGCCCTGGCTCGGTTGCCGATCATCTGATAGACTGCGACGCCTAGCGGCACAAGCAGATTTTGACAAAAGAAGAAGAAGTCATACAGTACATATAACAACCAGAATTTCATTACTTCATTTATAAACTACATAACATCCAGCTACCAAAATACAACTGCAGGTAATTTGGCAACAAATTGTGTTTTTTCTCATTTTCACAAAAAATATCGACAGTCAACCGTTCAGTAAGCAATGGCAAACTTTTTTTTTTTTTTTTTTTAAAGTTGCGTATCCTTTACAGGACGTTGCAGAACCAACCCTCAGCCCCTGGCTGTTGTGTGGTTTCTCTAGGCAATTTACATCCAGTAGTTTGCCATTGCTTTCTGGACGGTCGGCTTTCTTGATTCCACTGTCGAAACCAACGCAAGGCGCATTGCCAGCAGCTGGGATCGAACCTGGCATCCCGGCATTACGAAGCGAAGCGTTCGCATCGACTTAGCCACAGAGCCGACAATGGCAAACTACTGATCATAAAATCTAAGCAAAACCAAACAGCCAAAAAAAACAACACTCTGATTGGTTCAGCAATGTTCTGTAAAAAAAATGTGGAACTGACTGTTTTTTATTTTTTTAATTTCAAACAACAAAAATAACAGCACAAGGTACTTACGGATAGCAGAGAAACAAACACGTTTTGACACTGTGTTGAACAATGATGTGGTACATTGTGAATCCTATTCCAACAATGACTGCCAGGATCAGCAGAGCCTTCACCGTTTGGATCAACCAGAAAAACATCTTGGTGCTGGATACCTGCGAGCAAAACAAATAAAAAAACATAATGAAGTGTTTCCAAAACTGTTCCTAAAGCGGCGCATTTTATCAATTAAAATGTTTCCACAGCGCCCTAACCTAAGTAAAAGTATGACTGTTCGTATGTGAAAAAAAAAAAAAAAACGTGTGTATCTTGGAATATTTCGCGGCGCCACTGCAAAGAGGTTGTGGCTCCCTGAGGCGCCGCGACGCACAGTTTGGGAATCACTGCACTAATGTAGTATACTGTGGGCAGCTGTTGTGTTCTCCCTTAAAAGGGCTGTTGGCACATTGTGGTCTACAGCCAGACTGTGGCATCTTTTGGCCCAGCACATCCAGTTTCGGTAAATCCCTAATTAGTCGCCTGCTGCAATACGCTTATTGGATGGGAGGGAGCCTGTTCTTTCTATTTTCCTCTTCCCAAAACAAGGCCCTGAAATTCAAATGGGGAATTGTATACTGAAATTTTAGTTTCTCTAGAATGTGATAAGTTGTCTGTTTCATGTTCTAAAGTTTTTAAATTTTTTTTTTTTAAATTTAATTTTGGATTCTGTCCTTTGATTCAGGAGTGCATATGTTTCTGAGACCTTTAGCGAATCTTTTTGGAGCTAGAGAATTTGCGTTTTGTGCAAAATTTTTACATGAGCCACTTTGTGAAAAAAGACAGCCATATGGGGTAAAACTGGGCAATAATGAAGTCAATCCTCTTGTCTTAAACTAAGGAGACTGAATATTTAAACTGCAGTGAGACAATTTAAAACAAAGAAAAAGGTACGGGGGTTGGGTGGGAACTATCCCAACCCTTATTTAGTAAGACACTCAATGTCACAATGCACAGATGAGGTCCCGCCATAGCAATCAGTATTCCCTGCATACATTTCCATTTCTGCTTGGCATTACTTACTTATAGGCAAACATAGCTGTGTTCTAGAAAACTAAACATATATGTTACAGCTCTCTGTCAGTGTATGGGTTCTATTCATTCGATTTTTTAACCTGTATTTGCTACAGTTTACGGTTTATGTCTGTTGTCAACAAGAGCTGCCATTTTGGTACTTACGGTGAGTGAAGACATTTTTAAATAGATAAATAACACAATAACTGAGCCAAGGAGGTTCGGTCAGTGAGTCATTAAAAGTCAACTAACGAGGAGTGTTTTCTTCTTATTTGGAGTGCATCTGCCTGATAGGTGAGGAACCAACAGTCTGCATACAAAAAAGTTAGATCTGTAAAACAAATGTGCATGCAAAACTTAAGTTCTGGAAACAAGACCAAAGTCCAGAGGTGGATGGGCAACCAGAACTTTGCCACTGGAGTTTACAACTGGTGAACACAAAGAAGAAGAAGACTTTACAGTAGCGGTTACTGCAATAGGACAACTTTTATTACCTTTAGCTATCGTCTTTGTGGAGCACCTGGCCAAATAGTAAGAATGCTGGCCTCTCATGCAGGAGTTCCAGGTTCATATCTTTGGTTCCCCGTGTGGGTTCCGGGGCCCCATTGTGGGGAAAACAAGAATAGACCCACTGCCTCCCCAAAAGCATGTCGTAAGAGTCGACTAATTGGGGAGCCTCCTTTGAAGTCGGAGTGCATCTGCCGGAGAGGCAAGGAACCAGCAATCTGTATTCAAGAGAATGAGATCTGTAAAACTGATGCACACGCAACACTCAGGTTCTGGAGCAGGACTGCAGTTCAGTAGTGGACGAGCAACCAAAACTTTCCACCAGAGTTTACAGCTGGTGAACGCAAAGAAGAAGAAGATATCTTTGGTAAGCTGATGGAAATTTTTAGGTAATCTTGAGGATTTTTTTTTTTGCTACTCTGGGACAAAAATAAAATCCTAGCATGTACAGTTACTGGCAACTGTACAAGTCATGAAACCCTTAACCCTCAACTCCAAGACATCCCTACCTGCTGCAAAAAAAACAAAAAACAACAACAAAGAAAGAGCGAAAGAAAAAACCGCCAAAGCTGCTCGCCCAGGGGGGGGGGGGTCCTTTCTACCTGAGGATTTAGGGCTGCATGGCTAGTGTTGTCGCCACGAACTATGCAGGTCCCTATTTTATGTTTGCCCCCGACAGAATAAAATCCTCAAGGTTACCTAGGATTTGAATCTGGGTTTCCAGCATGAGGAGCCAGTATTTGTAATTGTTCTGCCAGCTGTCCTTGTCTACACCTTTGTGTCAGTGATACAGACAGACAGTATCTGACAGTCAGTATCTGACAGTCAGACAACTATCATCATATTCAATAGTTCAACAGACAATGCAACATCACAGTAATGTACTCAACAGCAACCCACCTCTTGTACAAAGCAAATGAGGAACCGTATTGCCAGGATCAGTGATATAAAACCCACCAAGTAGAAGTCAATTAAATAAAAATTCTGGAAAGAGAAAGTGAAAAAAAAACAACTACAGTAAAACCTCATCAACATGAATTCCAGGGGACCAAAAATCGAGCTTGTGTTAAAACAGAATATATGGTAACAGGTAAACAGGTGACACATAATAACAAGACATCCCTGCTGGGACCAACATTGTGTTCAGGTTAACCAAGTGTTCTTCTTAAGCGTATTTGCGTTAACAAGGTTTTACTGTACATGCTGTCCACTGGCTGGACAACAATGTTGCTGCTTTCGGAAGTCAGTCAGTTATGTGATTTTTGTGCCCTTTGGTCTGTACCTGTGGTTTTGTTAATTTATGTGATGTGCGGATGAAGGCTCCTGCAACTGTCATTTTTAATTTATTTTTGTTACACTGTGAAGTCTGCTGGTCTACTTTAAGTTTGGTTTTACATCTTTTCATGATATTACTGTACATAGAAAGTCTGGAAAGATGCTGTCTATAGTAAAAAAAAAAAGAAGTAAAGATCCTTTTTCATGCCTTAGGAGTATCGGGTATATGAGAAGAGTGTCCCATATGTTTACAGACCAATCGGTACTATGTGGGTAATGTGGTCAGCATTACGCCAGTCGTCTTTACTTCCCCAGGACAGTCATCCTGGTACCCATTTTTAGGCTGGGTCGACGTAGATACTGTCCACACAATATACAAACTTTACCTGTTTATAGTGAGGGCTCTTTGAGAGCGAATGAACAGTACGGAGGCACAGATAAATCATTGCTGTCTGAGGAGAATGGCACTGTGAGGAGTTACCAGGGGATCTGGCAGACGCTCAACACTCAGGGAAAGGGCAAGACGGATATACAATCAGACAGTTACTGATGCCATCAGAATTGGACCTCTTCGTTTGCTGCTGAAGATGGGGACACAGCGCTTATAGGAGTGTGCCAAGTGCTATGATGCTGATTCTTAATTTCAACATTCAACATTCTGTTTTCACTCACTCCAATACAGCTCAGATCTCTTTCATGACCATTCCCTTGTTATTTTTCTACCCAGGCCCTCAATCAACAAGCCAAACTGTCCTATCTTTTGCAGCAATATGACCATTTTTTTTAACATCCCTACCTACTTTCCTTCCCTGTGTTTATTTTTATTTTTTAGATCCGCCTGTATTCCACCGACCCCGTGGGTGCCAATGCAAAAGACATTTCAATATTTTTCTCAGGTTTCTTCACCCTGTTACCTATCCTATGTCAGCATATTATCCTCAACCTACTGACTGACTGGAATTTGTTTAGTTCTCCCTCAAAGTTCCAAATTAGTGATTCTATATCACACCAAAGCCACAAAAACCAACCATGTACAAGAAAGGAGCAATTGTATCAATTAATTTACTGTCTTGCTGTGCCATTATATCATTCATATCACAAAGAACACTCACTGTCTATATCATTGACGGAATTCGGTGCTTTATTAATATCCTAGCCCAAACGGGGAAAATCCACAGGTCACAGGACAGTCTAATATTTCAGGGGGTGGTAGATAGGCTTCATGCAGTCGTGGGAACTAGGCTGAATGCATTTGTGGGACCTAGGCTGCACTCTTTGGTGGGATGTAGGTGGGTTAGGGTTAGGGCCAGTTCTAGAAATTTTGGGGTCATTAAAAGCATCAGATAGCCGGGAAACCCAGTCTTACCACCCTCTAAAATGTTGGACTGCCCTGTGACATCATCTGCAGTAAGATATTAATAAAGAACCTGGAATCCAGCCCAGCACCTTTGGCTTTTCTCATCATCATCATTCGCTTCATGGTTTCTCTTGAATGTCCTCGTTTCCTCAGTCCCATAATTTTCCATTTCAGTCAGGAGATTCTCTGTTTGTCTCTTCTCAAAATGTGTCCAATATATAGCCACCTATCTGTCTTAAAACTGTTGATCCCAGTGGTTGCTCAGACATTTCTCTTATTTCTTCACTCCTCTTGAATTCATCTCATTTTATCTTCTTCTTCTTCACGTTCATCATCTGTAAACTCTGGCGGAAAGTTCTGGTTGCTCATCCCTTCTGGACTGCAGTCCTGTTCCAGAACCTGACTGTTGCATGTGCATTTGTTTTACAGATTTGACTCATTTGTATGCAGACTGCTGGTTCCTTGTCTCTCAGGCAGATGCACTCCGATTTCAAAGGAAGCTCCCAATTAGTCGACTCTTACGACATGCTTTTGTGTAGGCAGTGGGTCTATTTTTGTTTTCCCTATAATAGGGCCCCGGAACCCACATGGGTAATCTCATTTTATGATTATCCTTTACTCAGGGATTAGTTTTTGAATGCATTTAACTTTTAATACCATATCTTCAGTGGCTCTCCAACTTTGACTGGTATACGTTGAAATTCAAATAACTTTACAACTGACAATATGCAACTTAGTTCTAAAACTATATTATTTAGAGATGCATATTTTGTGTGAGTGTCTGCGTGTCTCTATGTGTGACCATGTGTGTGTGTGTATATGTGTCTGTGTGTTTATATCTGTGTCTATGTGAGTCTGTGTGTGTGTGTGCACTTCTGTGTGCATGTGTCTGTCTGTATGCATAGATGTCTGTATATATGCATATATGTATGTATGTCCAAGTGTATGTGTGTGTCTATGAGTGTGTATGTTTATATGTGTGTGTACATGAGTGGGTGGGCATGTGTATGTGGGTATTGGTGTATGCACGAGTGTGCGCATGCATTTTACCACCCATGTTATTGTGTTTTTTCTTGATATTCGTAATACGCACATTATTATATGAACATAACATGCTTTATTTATATAATACAACTGCTGTATAAAAGACAGGTATTTGGAAGGGCCGAATGTAAGACAGGCCAGAGTGCCCAAATTGTGACCCTTTGAAAAAAAAAGTTCAGTCATTTGTGTGTTCGTTCTGTATCTGCATTAACCATTCAAACCAGTCCAGAATATCAAATCCTTCTCACCAGGGCGTACTGTGCATGAGACTGTGGCAGCCACCAGACCGTCTTGTACAGGTTGATGTACTGTAGGCACATCATGATAATCCCAAAGACAAACAGCATGCACTCAAAGTAGAGGTTACCATCTCCTGGGATGTCAGGCAAGTGACTGTGTTTGGGTAACACCACCATGGATGCTAATGGAATCACATTCCCATCTCGGTCATCCGCCCCATGGCTAAAATATGTCAGAAAACAGAATGTGATAAAACAAAAACCACTGAAGAAAAATATACAGCTAAATAATATTACACTAAGTTGAGTTGAGTTGAGTCAAACATTGACATCACAGCACTCTGGGCATTCCTATGTGTGCTCCATCCCCATCTTCAGCAGCAGCACAGAGTTCCAATACTGATGGTACTGATTACAATCTGGTTACATGTTGGTCTTGCCTTGTAGTGAGCCAGCCAGACCCTCTGGTAACACCCAGGTGCCTCATTCTCTCCAGGCCATAATAATATTGTTTCTCTAAAGATTCCGTTGCTTGTTCCCAAAAGGGCCTTGACCACATCTTCCTTGTCATGTATCAATTCACCACCCAGTGGTGCAGATCCAGCAAATCTGTCTGCCTGTTCCTTACCCTCTACGCTGGCATAGCCTGGAGAAAAGATCCAAAGTATGCTCACTACCAATGACCTTCCCAGTGAAGCTTGCGACTCTGCTCGAAGCATTCCTGTCTTTATTTCCCAGCATGCTTTCAGAATATTACACTAAGACAAATATAAAGGACTTTTTTTTCATGCTTTCAGGGTGCACTAGGCATATAGGGCTAGACTTATATTTAATAGACTTGGTGGGTGATGTGGTCATCATCATGCCAGCCGACTTTACTTCCCAGGACTTTTACCTGGTACCCACTCAAGGCTAGGTCAACCTGGGAGTTCAAGTCATTTATAAAACAAGTCTGGTTTCCTCAGGACCCGAACCCCACAACCCTGATGCTTGCCACTCTGCACGAAGCATGCCTGTCTCCACCTTTCTCAACATCTTCTGTGAGTCAGTTACAATCACGGCATGTGTGTGAAGCTGATTCTCAAGCCAGCGGAAGGCAGCAGTGACTGCCTCCACCTTTCTCAACATGCTCTGTGAGTCAGTTACAATCACGGCATGTGTGTGCAGCTGATTCTCAAGCCAGCGGAAGACAGCAGTGACTGCCTCCACCTCTATTCTCAAACTAGATGTTGTGATATCATATGCAAGGCCTCTGATGCTTAACCCCCTGGGACTCAAACAGTTAACAGCTCAGTTTAACAATTTAGTAAAACTATTTGAAATCTTAAAATATTTGGAAAACCAATCATCTTATTAGACAGAAAAATATGGTATCGTGACAGAAGGGTAAAGAAACAACCGTGACACACATAAAATATAGCAACTAACACTAACATATTCCAAGTACACTTCTGGAGGCAGGCGAGCAAGAGGAAGACAAGGGTCCAAGTGGGAAGAAAAGATCAACAATTGCAAGATAACAAGAAATGGGTGGAGAGCAGTCTTTCAATGTGTGAAAATCAGAATCAGAGCCAGCTAGCATGGTGAAAATTCACTGCAGCCAGATTTCATTGAGGAGACTGCACTCGACTGGACGACTGATGAGAGAAGGGAGAGAAATTATTATATGGAGAAACAGGATCACCCCCAACAGTTGATAAACTAAGACTCTTAAGAGTTGATGGCACGGCCAGCTTCAGATATAAGGTCATACAGCTCAAACAGGGATTTTCATTTTTTTGAGGCTGGCGTGGCCAATCGAACTACATCTTCATCATCATGTGCCCTGCTAAATGGCATAGGCGCTCATCATCATGATCCCTGGTTGCCTGGAACAGCTCTCTTGACGATATCCCTCCATGCCATCAATTCAGCCCATCTAGCATAATCTTTCTTGGTCTGCCTCTACCCTTTTTCCACTGATCTTTCCAGTTGTCACGATGTTCTCCAATGTCTCTCCTCATTATGTGGCCAAAGAACAGTGTTCGTCTCTTTTTCATTAAAAAAAAGATTAAATTAAAAAAATTGAACTACAGTTTAATTAATTTACAACATGTTTTTTTTAATGAATTATTATTTTGAAGATAAATTAAAAAGCTATAAGAAAATATGTAAATATATATAATTTAAACTTTTTTTCAGAAAATGTGTTATCTTACCCTCCTCCTGAACCACTGCTTTTTCCTGAGGATGAATAAGCAGCTCCAGACTGGATTCTAGAAAATATCCTGCGACCTCCAGGCATTATGCAAAAAGATTAGGCTTAATCTAAATTGTAACCAAAGTGCCAGTATGGGCCGAGTTAGAGCATTTTGACTTTAAACGAGCAATGTCATTGTGTGATGCTCTTTTTCTTATTAAACATTCTAAGATTTCTATTTAATTTCTAAGACTGCTCAGTGTCCTGTATAGTACAGTAGTGTTCACATAATTCATTATTTAGAGAAAATAAATGTAGTAAAATGAAAAATGGTGATTATACATTGACTATGTTCTGTTAAAGTAAAGACAATAAAACAAAGAAAATTGAAATATTTTGGTCACTTGAAACGTCATGGAAGTCTAGAGAGAACAATAATGGAGGGGTATATGCCTGGGAAGAGAGGAAGAGGAAGGCCAAGGAGAAGATGGGTGCAGGATGTGGCAGATGATCTCCAGATGGGTGTATCAGACGCAGGACATCTTGCTCTCAGGATAGGAAGGTTTTCCGGAGGGTTGTTATGGCAGCGAGGTTCCGCGAGGGACATGCTACTGAATGAATGAATGAATGTTCTGTTAAAATAAACAGAGAGTAAATAATGTGAAGCTTCACTAAAAGTAGGAACCAAGTCTCAAAGAACCCAACGCAGCATATTTTTTAATTTCCGTCCAGTGTAGTGTGGTAGTTCTACTGTCTTCTTCTTCTTTTCTAACCCTTGGAGCATAGGCTCTCAACCAAATGCAACTCACTTCAAGTCATTCTATCCTTAAAGGATGTACGTCAACAATTCGGGCTCTTTAAAGTAAACAAACTCTTTTCGGCTTTCTCCACACCGTATCAAGTATCAAGTGTCATCATACACTTCCACTAGAAGAGCCTCCGCTCATCTTGGTTAGTCGGATTTTTCTTGTTTATCGACTTGTCCATGGTGGCTGGTTTTTGTGGATTTTGTTTTTACAAGATGAGGTAGCCAACTCTAAGCTCAACTACACCCTTAGTCGCCTCTTACGACATGTCTGGTAGTGGTAGGGTACAATGTTACTAATGTTACTTTTACTCTTCGTTGCTTCCCGTGAGGTGCCCCGTTGACACACGGAAGGTAGTGTAGTGTAGTCAGATAACTACTTTTACAATGACTTATACTTATAAGTTATTAATCCTGAAATAATGATACTGCACAAATTCTGTTTGGTCCAACACTTCGTCACAATCGATCACTATATTAAATATCCGAATAAAACAAACAATATTAAATAGCAAGCTTGGTTTACAAGAACATCGGCCAGTCCAGAAGATTATTGTACACAGCTGTCTTGGAGGTAAGGAAGCTTCAAAACTCAACCCCGGAGATATTTTACCGACTTAATTATCATCTGTGGAAAAATGTTGCATGTTGAATTAGGAATCGACATCACAGCACTCGGGACACCCGCATAAACGCTCAGAAGCAAGTGAAGAGTACTAGTTCCGATGGTACCAGTAGCCGTCTAATTGTATATCCGTCTCATCCTTCCCCTGAGTGTTGAGCGTCGGCCAGATCCCCTGGTAACTCCTCGCAGCGCCATTCTCATTAGACCGAAATGGTCTATCTGCGCCTTTGCACTGTTTACTCGCTCCCAAAGGGCCCTCGCAATATTTATTTTGTCATACATCAATTCCCCACCAAGTGGTGCAGAGCTCATCTGTAGACAGAGAGACAGGAAGCCAGTGATAGATTCTTCACAGCCTTTGCAATGGCATAGAAGGGTATCAACACACGAAGTGATACACGCAGTTGATGACTGTGGGAGGTATGATCGGCCACGCCAGTCGGCAAGACATTTGATGATGATGATGATGAATTATCATTACCATCGTCCCTAACACTGCGCGTCGTTGGGTCACCAGCTGCTGATGACTGTCTGATCAACTCCCTCCACTTTTAGCAATGGACTTCATGGTTGCATGGCCTGTCCAGTCAGTCAAATTCTGTGTCGACGTCTTTCATGGTCTGCCTCTGCTTTTTTTTCCCCTCTGCTAAGTCCTTGGCATGAATTGGTTGAGGGCCTATGCTCCACTGGGGACTAGAAAGACAGAAGAAGAACCCTGTAGTATTGTTACTGACAAGCCGTTAGATCTTTTTAGGCTACAAGTCAGTACCAGTCGCGGGGCGTTCATGTCGCCACTTACACTTTCGATTGCATTACTGTGCATGAAAAATGTGATATTTATTGACAGTTTTGATACTTACTACTACTGTTCACTGTTTATTGCAAATACCACTCTGTTTACGTTTCACCGTGCAAGTAAAACTAACAGATTAATATGCGCACGCTCGTCTTGCAGAAGCTGTAATGTGTGAGCTACCAGTTACAAATGGTATGATGCTAACTGCGCACGCATACTCCTAACAGTAAACTGTTGAGAAGGTAGACATCACCGTATATCCATTTCAGGTTTAATCGTTACTTGCTGGCGCTTAAATTTGTCTAAACCGCTTACACATATGAACTGATAGAACCTCGCCACTGTTTCGTACCAATGAATTTGCCGTCTTTTCTTTGTAGTTAAAAGAAGTTTATAGTTGCCAAATCGCGCGGTAATTATAGGACGAACCTCGTTATTTGTCATGTGGTTGCAGTATGATGTGCTAAGAATTTCTTTTCTGAAAGATCGCATTTCCAAAACTTAAATTATTTTTTTTCGCCCTTTTAAGATGAATTTTTTTTTTTTTTGTTATTTGAAGCCCCACCCTGGCTTTTCCCAGGGGCCGCAATATAGGCAGGCCATAAATATGGCCAATAATCTGAACGCGGTTTCTGGGACCTCTCCACGGCGATCCTCATCCACATAGTGGTACTTTGTGTCATCGGGTGTTTATCGCTTGTGTGATGTCCTGGTGGGGTAGAAAGTCAGTCAGTCATGCCGTGTGGCGTTGGTAGTCACACTATAGTCACAACATAGACAAACTATATATCACAGTTAAAACTCAGAGGAGTTGAATTAAGATTAGACATTTAGCCCTCTGGACACTCCCATAAGCGCCCTGTCCCCATCTTCAGCAGCAAACGAAAAGTTCAAATTTCGATGCTACCAATAACTGATTGTACTTCCGCTGCGCCTTTTCCTGAGTGCTGAACGTCAGTCAGATCCCCTGGTATGACCACGTAGCATCATTCTCCTCAGACGGTAATGATTTTTTTGTTTTTGAGCCCCATTCTTAGAACTCAGAGGATTTCAACAATATATTGTTTAAATTACTAGTTCTACTAGAACTTAATCGTAATGAGGGTTAAATCCCAACTGCAGATGATTTGTTTTGTGTTGGTTTCGACAGAGAGCTGACCGTCTGGGAGCAATGCTAAACTATTGGGATGTCAGATTTGCCTGGAGAAATCATCACCAGATGCCTTGCCGACTGGCGTGGGCGATCATGCCTCTCCACAATCTTCAATCTCCTGCAGCATGTATCAGTTCGTGTGCTGACACACCTCCATTGTGTTCACTAGCTGTTCGTTAGAGAATCTGGCGCATTTTCTTTGTCCTCGAAACCCCAACACAGAGCAGGCCCATCATCAGCATGTGCTGATCATCGTGTGTCGGACAGATACTTGATCACGAAATCCTTGCCTAAACATTATGTCAGTACATTCTACCGATAAGTAGTACCAGAAACAAAATCATTAAAAGTATTTTACAGACTGTAGACAATCCCCTGCTGCTTCTACTCCCAGCTGGTTCAGGCTGTGTCCGGCACACGAGACATAAATGGCAACCTTACTGAGTTGATGTATCCGCGCTTATTCCATTCAGTTAATTTACATGTCAAGGTGTCAATGACAGACCTACAGTCTACATTGACGGCGAAGAGCTTGAGACAGCAAAACATTTTACCTATCTGGGTTCCTCAGTGAATAGTAAACTATCGCTGGACCAAGAAATCAACATGAGGATAGGTGAGGCAGCAACAACAATGAGCAGTCTGACAAAGAGAGTTTGGGAGAACAGAAAGCTCACAATTAAAACAAAATCCCTTGTCTATCAGGCTCGTGTTCTCAGCACTCTGCTTTATGGTGAAACTTGGTCAACATATTCAGACCAGGAGAGACGGCTTAATAGCTTTCATGTGCGATGCTTAAGAAGAATACTTGGCATTAAGTGGCAGGACAAAATCACAAACACTGTAGTATTGGAAAGAGCAGGTACTACAACAGTCTTTTCCATGCTAAGTCTACGAAGACTCAGGTGGCTGGGTCAAACCTGGAGAATTGAGGCTGGCAGAGTCCCTAAGGACATCTTTTATGGTGAATTAAAGACAGGAAGAAGATGTCGAGGCTGACCTCTACTACGTTATAAAGATATGTGCAAGATATGAATGATACAGGTATTGAGGCGGACTCATGGGAACCAAGTACCATGGACCGTGTTCTGTGGAAAGGGTATATCAGGAAGGGAATAAGACTGAAGGAAGAAATTATTGCAGAAAGGATGAAAGCTGAGCTCTGAAAAGAAACGGATTAAACACAAATGTTGTTAACATTAGTTAGTTAGTTAGTTAGTTAGTTAGTTGGGTTATCATCATTGCACTCCGGACATGTCCATAGGTGCTCAGATCCTCCCCTCAGTATGAACCCCAACGTCCGATGGCTAATAGTACCAGTTCTATGTTGATAAATGTTGTTAACAATGGTCCTGAAATCCCATGCGATCATTGTGGAAGACTTTTCTTGACACGGGCGGGTCTTGCTAGTCACACTCGCCATCGCCATGGACTGTGAGTCTCATGCCTCCTCATAGCGCAATATAACACTATCGTCTTGAAAGACGGAAAGGTACCAATGAATGAATTTAAACGTCAACTATATTTGTTATATATGGCAAGACATTTTACATACACAGATCAGGATGGGGTCCTTTTGCTACTGGACCCCCCCCCCCCCCGGGGGCCGGCTGGCCTATGCGTTAAGACGGCCCTGACCAAGACTGTCAATGCGTGTCGATAGGGCCCCTGATAGTCGGGATGACTGTCCATTAAATTATTCTGACATTATAATTTTTTGACATTT